CGCGCTCGCCCCCGCGCCAGCGCGCCCCTTGCCGCGGCTGTTTCTTCTCCCCGCCACTCACTTCCTTTTTTTTTTTGTTTTCCATTTGTTTGTTTGTGATTAAACATCAGCAACACCAGCGGGTGCCCGCACGCTGCTGTGCCCTGCTGCGGCAGCCTGGTGTGCTGCCAGCCTGCTTACCGCCTTGCTGGCTGGTGTGGGGCTGGGGTCTGGCCCCACGTGGCCCCCGGCCCCACACGTGTCACCCAGCCCGTGCCGTCTGCCCTGCCCTGGGGCAGCCAAGTCAGCACCAGCGTCGAGGAAGCAGTTTCAGGATAGATTTTAATTCTTGGGAGCAGAGATGGGGGAACCAGAGCAAGAGGGTGCAAGGGAGCCAGCCCGACCGGGGCCATCCCCACTGCCCTGAGGGTGCCGGTGGCAGGGTGCCAATGCGCACGTCCCACCTGGGCTCGATGCCCAGCCAGGAGGACCTGTGGATGCAGGGGACATCCCGGACCAAGCGTCACACGGAGGGCTTGGCCATCATGTGCTGGCAGGGAGAATGAGTGGGCACGGCGGAGGGGTTGGGGACCTTCATCCTTTGCATGGCGGGGATGCGGTGCCCACCAGCAGCACCACCGAGGGGCAGCAGCATCGCGGAGGGTTGGCAGGGTGCAGGCAGGCATCCCCGCCCCGGGGGCCCAGGGCAAGGCAGCAGCTTCGTGGAGGGTTTCCTTCCTCCTGCCCCAGCCTGCGCACCCGCCAGCCACCCCGAGCTGCGCCGCTGCAAGCATCTCTCATGTGACCGCCGGCTTCCTGTGCGCTTCCCGGCCTCGGTGCCGGTGCTTCGGTACGTGCCGTGCCAGGCGCTGCCCGAACACTGCACCCTTGCCACCGGGCCCCAGCACCATGCTGCGCCGCAAGCCCTCCAACGCCAGCGAGAAGGAGCCGGGACACAGGAAGGTGAGCGCCCGAGCTGCGCCGCTGCAAGCATCTCTCATGTGACCGCCGGCTTCCTGTGCGCTTCCCGGCCTCGGTGCCGGTGCTTCGGTACGTGCCGTGCCAGGCGCTGCCCGAACACTGCACCCTTGCCACCGGGCCCCAGCACCATGCTGCGCCGCAAGCCCTCCAACGCCAGCGAGAAGGAGCCGGGACACAGGAAGGTGAGCGCGCCCGGCTGCCCTCGGCACCCGGCACC